CTAACTCTCTTCATCAGTTCATTCATCTACTTTACTCTCTTGCAAGTTCACTATATAAAAGAGATCTGATTGTAAAACTCTTATCAATTAATGAAATACAAGATTCAATTCTCAGCATCTTTCGACTTTTCTCTCTAATTTTCACATGGTATCAGAGCCTTGACAAGCGTCAAATGGCCTAAACACCTGGTCCCTCCTCCTCAGTCTTGCCTAATCGCATTGAGGAAATGCTTAGAGAATCACTCAATCATTCAATCTCTGCACTTGCGTCTAGTTTACAAGTAATCAGTCCTAAACTCATGTGCAACAACTACCGATTTTGGAGCTCACAGGTCTTGTTTGCTGTCGGCTCCCATGAACTTGAAGATCACTTACTCAGTAAAATTTCTTGCCCTCCACCTTTAATTCTTGCAGAATCGTCAATTGATGATGACCTAAGTGAGCTCAAGGAAGATGTTAGGGTTAAATCTGACAAAATCAATCCAAACTATGTTATGTGGAAACATATAGATAAGTTTTTAGTTAGTTGGCTACCAGCTTCTATATCAGAAAGTATGTTTGGTAATGTGTCAAAATGTAGATACCCAACTGAGATTTAGAGAGTTTTAGAGAATGAATTTGTTAATGATTCCAAAGCTCTTGCTCTACATCTTAAGAATTTGTTGCAAACAACACAAAAATGTAATCTAAGCATTGGAGATTACATTAAGAAAATGGAGGAGATAAGTGAGAGTCTGTCAGTTAGTGGCTTAATCATCTCAAATGAGGATTTATTACAATATGTCCTTGATGGTTTAGGACTAGAATATGACCTTGTAGTAGTAACCCTTACTTCTAGATTGGAGTCAAAAATTGATTCTGTCACACTTCAAGAAGCATAGTTTCTGCTTTAAAAATATGAAATTAGATTGGTGAAGTTCAACTCTATTGACCTATATAACAACTCTGCTCATCTAGCTGTCACAAATGTTGCTCATTTAGCTATCACAAATGTGTCTGGAAGTGCAAGAAACAATTCAAAATTCCCATAAAACGAAACAATTGACTGGTCCCTAACCTCACCCTTGTTCAACAATAATGTTCCTTCTCTCAATTCCCTTGGTAATCCAAACCATCATCAGACGTATACAACACCATCTGGCACCTATTCAGTTGGTTCACATAATCAAGTTTTTCAACAGACTAGTAATCAGATGTTTACTCCTAGACCTCTTGGTTATGTGTCCTATGGAAGAGGCAGGGTCGCGGTCCTAACAGGAACAAACTTATCTATCAATTGTGTAACAAGACAAGGCATTTAGCTGTGCAGTGTTATCACAGGTTTAATGCTGCCTATAATGGAGTTTTGTAGTATGGTTCCTTGCAATTCGTTGGTTTTCCTAGTTCACATTCTCAACAGTTTCAAAACTTTAACACTCATCAGCTTGCTTCTGGTTCTGATTCCAAGCAACCATCTCAGTTTGGCCCTTCTTTTGGAGTTGTTGGTTACACAAATGTACCTCTAAGTTCAGGCAACATTCCTATATCTCCTAGTTCTGACAATACTGCTGGTTCTTCTAATGTTTTTGGTGTGCCAAGCCAACAATCAACAAGCACTAATCAGGCATTTCTAGCAGCCTCAAATTATGCCCCTGTTGCACACTATGGTCCAAACCTGCAAAGTTCACAAACAGCCACTACTACACGTTTCACCCCTACTGACCCCATATGGTACATGGATTCTAGAGCTACTGATCATGTAGCTTCAAATTTAAGTCATCTACAAGTTAGCAAGGATTATTGTGGTCGAAATCAACTTCAAGTAGGCAATGGTGAACACCTTGACATCTCCTATACTGGTAACACTCTATTACCCAGCCATTTCCATTCTAAATTTTTACATCTCAAAAACATATTATGTGTACCCAAAATTACCAAAAACTTACTTAGCATTTCAAAATTTACAAAAGACAATAATGTGATTGTTGAATTTAATGCTGACTATTGCATTTTTAAGGATCAAATAACCAAGGAAATGTTACTGCAAGGGGATCTTAAAAAAGGCTTATATTAGCTTAATATTCCCTACACCAAACCTGTTTGTTCTGCACAACCCTCACAATCTCATAGTCCAAACTTTAGTCTGAATAATTATGTTTCACATTGCAATAATGTAGTAAAAAATGACTTGTCTTCTCACTATTCTAAAAATACTTGAAATTAGCATGTCCTAGATACCACTATTGCTTTCAGTCCAAAACTCACTCAAGAGCATTGTAAGCTTGATTATGATGTTTTCTCCTCTGTTTCAAATACTTGTAGTCCTGTAATATGCAATGATCTAATAAATAAAGAAAATATTGTTGTGCCTACAAATGATGATTTTACTGATGCTTATACTACCTCTACTGTGCCTACAACTTCTGATGTGCATTTAGAACATACTGATGTGCCTACAAATGATGATTTTATTGATGTATATACTGCCTCTGTTGTGCCTACAATTTCTAATATGCATTATGATACTGCTTTGCCTAAAAATGATAGTCTTACTGATAGTACTGATGTGCATACTGCCTTAGCTCTTCCTGGTACTAAAAATTTATGTTTCATTATTAATAAAAATGATTAGGATTATATAACCTAGCACAGAAGACTAGGGCAACCACATTCCATCATCTTACATAAAATCATATCCAACTTAGTGTAACGCCCCACTTGAGGTACGTTGCTAATGTTTCTTATTTCGCNTTAAGGATCAAATAACCAGGGAAATGTTACTGCAAGGGGATCTTAAAGAAGGCTGATATCAGCTGAATATTCCCTACACCAAACCTGTTTGTTCTGTACAACCCTCACAATCTCACAGTCAAAACTTTAGTCTAAATAATTATGTTTCACATTGCAATAATGTAGTAAAAAATGACTTGTCTTCTCACTGTTCTAATAATACTTGTAATCAAAATGTCCTAGATACCACTATTGCTTTCAGTCCAAAACTCACTCAAGAGCATTGTAAGCTTGATTCTGATGTTTTGTCCTCTGTTTCAAATACTTGTAATCCTGTAATATGCAATGATCTAATAAATAAAGAACATATTGATGTGCTTACTAATGCTTATACTGCCTCTGCTATGCCTACAACTTCTAATGTGCGTTTAGAACATATTGATGTGCCTACAAATGATGATTTTATTGATGTATATACTGCCTTTGTCGTGTCTACAATTTCTTATATGCATTCTGATACTGTTGTGCCTAATCTTCTTGATGTGCCTAAAAATGATAGTCTTACTAATAGTACTGATGTGCATACTGCCTTAGCTCTTTCTGGTACTAAAAATTTATGTTTCACTGTTAATAAAATTGATCAGGATTACATAACATGGCACAGAAGACTAGGGCACCCACATTCCATCATCTTACATAAAATCTTATCCAACTTAACTAACTCAAAATCTATCACACACACACAAACTTCCTCTTTATTCTGTGATGCATGCCAACTAGGCAAACTTCAGAATGCCAATTTCCCTCATTCCTCTTCTCATGCCACTGCTCCATTAGAATTAGTTCATAGTGACGTATGGGGTCCTGCCCCTTTACCTTCTTCTGAAGGTTTTAGGTATTACATACAGTTCCTTGATAACTGCAATAGATACACTTGGTTGTTTCCCCTTAGAACTAAAGCTGAAGTTAAGTCCATCTTTATTAAATTTCATCATCTTGCTGAGAGACAATTTGGTTACAAATTAAAATGTTTACAATCTGAACAAGGAGAGGAATTCATAGCACTTCATACATATCTCACAAACTTAGGCATTCGGTTTAGACATTCATGCTCCCATATCCGTCAACAAAATGGTAGAAGCAAAAGAAAACATAGGCACATAGTGGAAACAGGACTAACCTTGCTCGTTCATGTTTCAATGCCTCTTCATTTTTGGTGGTTATCATTTGAAACTGCTGTTTATTTAATTAATAGAATGCCTACCTCTGTTTTAAACAATGTCTCACCTTATCAAATGTTGTTTAAAGTATCTCTTGTCTATGAAAGCTTAAGGGTCTTTGGATGCTCTTGTTTCCCTTACCTTAGAGTTTTTAATCGCCATAAATTCAGTTTTCATAGTACCAAATGTGTCTTTGTTGGGTATAGCTTAGTTCATAAGGGCTACAAATGTCTACAACCTAATGGTAAACTAGTTATTTCACCTAGTGTTAAATTCAATGAACTAGAGTTTCCTTTTTCTCTTAACACTTTTCACCCTCGATTTGTTCCTCAATCTAATTTTGAATCTAGTTTTAAGTCCTCTCGTACTCAGTCTACAGCTAGTACATCTCTACTTTTTCCATTCACACATGTACCTTCTCCTAAGTCTCCACAAAGGCCTTCTAAAGATCCCTCTGTTGTAACTAATTCCTCAAGTAAGTCTGATTCTTTAATAGCAGTAGCTAGTGCTAATTCGACAAAATCACATACTACACATCACACTTCCTTACCTACTTTCAATTCAACATAGTTCAAACCATTAGACACACACTCACACCAATCTGCATACCCAAACACCTCAGGTAATTCTCTTCCTGTCATTTCACCAAACCAACCATTACCAGCCTGTAATCTTGAAGTTGATCTCACATTACCCTATAATTCCACACCCTATAATTTCACATCTCAACCTGGACCTTTAACCAAGTCATCATTATCAAACACTTCCACATCTCCATTTACAGATTCAAACACCTCTACACACCAGCCTATAGACTCAAAAACCTCCACACAATTTACAAACTCAAACACCTCCACACAATTTACAAACTCAAACACCTCCACACACCAACCTACAAACCCAAACACCTCCACACACCAGCCGACAGACCCAAACACTTCATCCCCTCATCTGCCTATCCTCTCTGAATATCCTGATTTACCTTCATGCTCACTTGAGGTTGATCTCACATCACTAAAGAATTCTATTGATTTCATGAGTCTCAAATCATCTACCTCAAATACACACCCTATGACTACAAGATCCAAAGCAGCAGCAACTCCTTTCAACACAGTATATTCCATAGCTCTTAATTCAGAAATCACAGCTGTTGTTCTTGAACCTAACACTGTATTTGAAGCCCTCTATAGTCTTGCATGGAAAGGGGCAATGCAAAGTGAATTTGATGCATTAATGAAAAATGACACATGGATCCTTGTTCCCCCTCTTCCTGATAAAAATGTTGTAGGCAGCAAGTGGGTTTTTAGAACAAACTATAATGCTGATGCTTCCCTGCAAAAGTACAAAGCTAGACTTATTGCTAAGCGTTTTCAACAAACTCCAGGCCTAGATTATTTTAAAACTTTTAGTCCAGTTATCAAGCCATCTATCATTAGGATAATCCTCACCTTAGCTGTCACAAATGGGTGGGACATTCAACAAGTGGATGTTAATAATGCCTTCTTGAATGGGACCTTAAATGAAAAAGTTTACATGAGTCAACCTATTGGTTTTGAGGATCCTGCCAGGCCTTCCTATGTTTGCAAGTTAAATAAGGCTTTGTATGGACTTAAACATGCTCTAAGAGCTTGGTTTGATAAGCCAAAGACTGCCTTATATCACAAAGGGTTCCAAAATTCAGTTTCTGATTCTAGCTTGTTTGTGCTTTGTCACAACTCATTTTTCACCTATGTACTTGTTTACGTGGATGATATTCTTATTACCGGATCAGATAAGTATTTTATCACTCAACTTATGAAAGATCTAAATGATGAGTTCTCTCTTAAGACTCTTGGCTCTTCACAATATTTTTTAGGGTTAGAAACAACTAGAACAGCTGATAATCCAAGAAATATACTGTTTTTATTAGGCTTTTTAGCCAGATTTTAGATACTTCTTAGTTCATTTTTGCCTGAATTGCTACTTAATTCTTTACATTTTGTGTTTCAAGCCAAAATGGACATTTTGAGCAAATAATGAGCAAATTGGAGTTTCTGGACCCAAAAGTGAGCGGATTTCAGAATTTGGAGGAGTTCTGAAGTAGATTGAAGCACTATGAAGCTTGTTCCAATGAGAAAGCATCGGAGATCGAAGATTCAAGCAAAGAAGCAAGCAGAGGGCAATTCTGTAATTTCAGAATTCTTCATGAAGGTTCGCCACAGCGAAGTTCTGTTCTTCGCCGCGGTTAAGGAAATGAAACATGAGATTCTAACTTACCTCGTCGCCGCGGCGAAAGTCTTTCTTCGCCGCGGCAAAGTCTGCGGATTTTTGTTTTCTTCAAAACACACGGTTTTATTTTAGAAAAGTTATGGGTTTTTGGGCGAACTATAAAAGGAAAAATTTACCATTTTGAGAAGGATGGTCGGAGTTCGCTTGGTTTTCATTTTTCCTTAGAATAGATTTGACATGTTTGTTAAGAAAGTGAGAAGATTGGAGATTAAACCTCATGGATTCTTCAACTAGGGGAGATATCTTTTTTTTTTCTCTTTAATTCAATATGTTGAATGCTACGTTTACTGTTTTTCTTGTTGTGTATTCTGATTTAGTTATGAACTAACCCATTTTGGGTTAGGGTTTTGATTAAGTTTGGATTTCTATGGGTTAATGAATTCATTATTGCTATTTCCATATTCTATTGCAATGATTGTGTGGTTATTCTGTTTTTAATGGAATTTATTTGATGAATATGATGAGATTGAGAAATGAATCATGTTGAGCTTCTTGCGTAATCACCATTGTACTATTGAATGCTAAAGATAGATTTGAGAATCAATGAATCAATCTAGGATTCCGTTAGCTTAATGAACTTGGATCTATTATTCTTCAATTTGTTGGGTGCGGAAGTTTAATAGGAAAAAGTAGGAATTCATAGCCTGAGAAGGTATGTTTGACAACTTAGAGAATTCGATTTACAATCTGTGCATGTGAGTGTGGGATTAACATAGTCCGTAGAATTCATCCATAGAGTCTGAATGAAGTCAAAACCCTAACCGTTTGTTAAATTGATATTATTCTTGCTTTTAAATTCTTGTTTTCATTAATTAGTCTTTAATACTTAGTAAGTTTTGTTTTATTTTTAGATTTAATCTCTCCCATTAATCCAAACACATTCGGTTCCTCCAACTTGAAAATAATTAGGAAATTTAGTGCTTAACAACCAATCCTCGTGGGAACGATACTCACTCATCACTTTATTACTTTGTGCGACTAGTGCACTTGCTATTTATGCATGTTGTAGTTACAACACATCAAGTTTTTAAGCCGTTGGTATTCATTTGAAGCAGAGCAAATATGCTTCAGATCTACTGTCTAAAACTGAGATGTTGGATTTTCATGCCTACTCTACACCCATGGCTGTAGGCACCAAACTTTGCTCTACTGATAGTGAACTCTTTGCTGATCCAAGCCTTTATCGCAACACCATAGAAGTCATTCAATACTTAACTCTTACAAGACCAGACATCAGTTTTCCTGTCAATAAACTGAGTCAGTTATTGGATGCACCCACAGAGGTCCAATGGCAGGCTTGCAAGAGAATATTAAGGTATATCAAGGGAACACAACACTATGTGTTACATTTTAAACCGGCCAGCACTTTAAAAGTTGAATGCTATGCTAATGCCGATTGGAGAAGCAATCTAGAGGACAGAAGATCTACAAGTGGCTATTGTGTATACATGGGGCCCAACTTGATCCAGTGGAGTTTTAGAAAACAAAAGGTTGTAGCATTTTCTTCCACAGAGACTGAGTATAGAGCTTTAGCTCATACAACCACAGAAATTGCATGGCTTCAAAGTTTGTTCACTGAGTTGGCTTTACAAGTTAACGTCACTCCTGTTATTTGGTGTGACAATGTGAGTGCTGGGGCCCTAGCAACTAATCTTGTTATTCATGTAGGAACCAAACACATTGAGATCGATGCTCACTATATTAGAGAGCAAGTTCTTGCCAAAAAAACTGCTCATACAGTATGTCCCTTCCAAGCTCCAAATAGTTGTCTTAACTAAAGCACTATTAGTTACTCAATTTATAGAACTTAGGAACAAGCTGAATGTTGTAAGTCAAGAAAACATATAGCTGAAAAAGATCAGAACTTGAGTTGCAGATGCAATTTTTCTTCTACTTTGAGCTACTACTGCAGTTTACATATTTGAGTTGCAAATGCGCTTGTTCTTTGGTTGTTGTGTTTTCATAATTGTTAAGTTGTTGAGCTGCAGATTTTTGAGCTGAAAATGTAGTTTGCAAATTTGAGTTGCAGATGCAGTATTTCTTGTTTGGTTGTTATGTTTTCAGAATTGTTAAGTTGTTGAGCTGCAGATTTTTGAGCTGAAAATGCAATTTGTAGATTTGAGTTGCAGATTTAGTTTGCTGATTTAAGTTGCAGGTTCAATCTGGTTGCAGATGCAGCATCATTTTTTGTTGTTTGGTTGTTATGTTAAATTGTTGAGTTGGTGAGCTGCATATTTGAGCAGAAAAATATTGCCAATTTGAGCAAAAAATTTTAGTAGTAGAATTTGCAAACTGGAGTAGCACAGTTTGTAGTTTTGAGTAGTAGAGCAGTTTGTAGATTTGAGTAGCAGAGTTGCAATTGAAAATGCAGAACTGAAAATGGGCTGAAAATGATTTGTAGTCATTACCTAAAGTTTTCTCTTGAGTTGTTGAGTAGCAGAGTTGTGTTGAAAATTCAGTTTGCAGATTTGAATGGCTAATGCTGAAGTTGAACTACTGAAGTTACTGAAGTCTTGCAGTTGTTGAAGCTATTGAAGTTGTTGAAACTGTGCCTATTTACAAAATCTGTAGAATCCACAAAGGATTAGTCACAGCAAAAGAAGCCCAGAATTACAGTCCAATTTAAGGGGAAATGTCAATATACGGGCAAAACAAACTGGTAACATACTCAAGGCACACTCAGTCTAGCTCAAGGGGGAATGTAAGAATAAGTTTGATAAAAGGACTAATTTGTCCAACTATCAAAAGATGTGGCCTCTTTGTAATATTACTAAAACGATGTCGTTTCAGTAATACTCCTCAGTTAAGCTGATCGAGCTACTCTCTTTAGCTAACTTTCTTCATCAGTTCATTCATCTACTTTACTCTCTTGCAAGTTCACTGTATAAAAGAGATTTTTTATTGTAAAACTTTGATCAATTAATGAAATACATATTCAATTCTCAACTTCTTTCAACTTTTCTCTCTAAGATTTACACTTTTAGCTAAATTCTTAAATTTAGAGGGTTTGGGCTAATGGTTATTTGGTAGACATTTGAAGATAATTATGTCCAAAATGATATTTAATTCAAGACAAAATAGGTATAAAATTCATATTACCTCGATAAACTTTAAATAACACTTCTTGAGAAGGTAATCTGATTACCCCCTATATTACCAACAGAAAATACTATTTGCAAATATTACTATAATATTTTATTACTTGCAAACCAAACAAGGGAATCTTGTAAATTAAATGAAGATTATCGAAGTAATCTTATATGATCCTAAACCAAACGCACCCATGAAGTTAAGTTAAGTGGATTGTTGCATAAAATATAATCATGCAAGTTGGTTTTCGATAATTCTTTGATATCGGTTTAAGTATATATATAATCATGCGTATTTGAGTTAATTAGAGCTTTATAAATTGATAGTTAGTATATAATTAAGGTGTTCATTTAGCACATAATAAGTTTTTCAACGGTTCCTATCATATAGAAATGGGTCAATCGCAGTATATGTAGATTCAAAGTGTATAAGTGACATTAACCCTACTATTTAATAAAATATAATATACAATTTTTATAATATTTAAAAAAATTTAATTTAAGGCTATCATTTATACGAATAAATGTAATATTAAACTGTTGTTCTGTAATAAATATATTCATCTTCAAATGAAAAGTACTTATCATGCTTTTCGCTTCTGATGCGGCTGTTTAAGAGTTTAAAAATGGCTAATTATTATGTAAGGTTAAGAGCAATTAGTTAGTTAATTAAATTGAAAGGAAAATTATGTATGGTAGGCAATATTGCAATCAACTAATTAGGTCTATTATTATAGAATTTAGTATAAAAACCGTAACTACTTCACTTCTAGTTCCTCTAATATTCATCACTATAAATTAGAGTCACCAATATTGTTTTTAACCCAAAAGAAAAAAAAAAAAAAGCTTACTTAAAGAATCATGTCTTCTAGCAATCTCTTTATTTTTATTACTCTTTCCATCTTTTTATTTATTCATGAAGCTGTTTCGACAGATTATGGTTTAGCACTGAGCAAGTCTTTGTTATTCTATGAGGCTCAAAGGTCCGGAAAGTTGCCTCCTGACCAGAGAGTGACGTGGCGTGCAGACTCTGCCCTTAAAGATGGTAGCGATGTCGGAGTAAGATGATCATCTTTCTGTAAATTTCTTTCTTTCTTTTTTTTTTTTTTTTTTTCTTTTACTAGTGCTTTGCGGTATAAGAAGTAATGATCATCATTCTTGAAAAATAACGAGATAATGATATAACTAGTTTAAATATATCTTTCTTCGCCTTTCGAAAACAATGATATATAGAAGAAATTCTATGAAAATGTGTTTTGGTGAAACGAGTTGAAATACTTTTAGAAACAATTTATGCATTCAATCTTGAAAACCAATGTAATATCATAAAATGGGACAAAAGTGTTTTCATACTTTTCTACCTTTCTTAACTATGAATATCATATCAAAAACACTTTGAATATAAAAAATAAAGAGTTATGACTCAAAATTTGAATTGTAACTTACATTTAAAATATTAATTCAGATTCCCGATTTATATAAAATTTAAATAAAGCTTTTCAACGTCAAAACAAAGGATACAATAAATTCTTCGATTACGTTTAGTTGAAATGGGTTGAAACGTTTTCAAAACGGTTTTTGGATATAGTAGTTAAAAGCAAAAATTGTCTGTATTTTTCTTCTTAATTTTCTGTTATTATTTATTCTAAAAATAGTTTCAGCATATTATATCAAACATACTGTAAGATTTCAAACATATTGACATACAAGTCAATTTTTTTGAATTATATCTTAGTTTTCAAAGAACTATTTTCGGATTACAAACCACACTCTGGTATCATACATATTTGTTTTGCCCAAGTATATCATTTCTAATATCAACACATATGAATACAATACAATAGGTTGATCTTGTGGGTGGCTACTATGATGCTGGAGACAACGTAAAGTTTGGATTTCCAATGGCATTCACAGTCACAATGCTATCATGGAGCACCATCGAATTCAAAGCCAAACTTGCAGAAAACAAAGAGTTTCGAAACGCCTTGAGTGCCATCAAATGGGGCACAGACTATTTTCTTAAAGCACATCCAAAACCAGACGTGCTTTACGGTCAAGTTGGAGATGGCGATTCCGATCATGCATGTTGGCAAAGACCAGAAGACATGACCACGCCAAGAACTGCATTTAAGATTGATGCTCAGCATCCGGGAGCTGATCTTGCTGCTGAAACTGCTGCTGCTTTGGCTGCTGCTTCCATTGCTTTCAAGAATTTTGATCGTAAATATTCTGAGACACTTGTAACCCATGCAAAACAACTCTTTGAATTTGCTCGAAATAATCCAGGTTTGTACCAAAACAGCATACCCGGGGCTGGAAACTTTTACTCTAGCAGTGGATGCGAGGTAAGAATTCAAATTAAATGTGTAATACGTTATTTAAATTAAAGGGCTATTATCACCGATCTCGTCCGAGGTTTCAGGTCTTTTGCAGTGGCACGTCGGTGTATTAGAATACATTCATGAGATCTCAACTCACCTTTCCTGAATTTATCCAAGTGAGACGAGTGACTAAAGATGATATCCAAGGGGGGGAGGTCATTGAGGATTTTCGATGCACATGGGGTGTCACTAACGAAACCTAAAACCTCGAGGGAGGTCATTAACAATACCCCTAAATCAAACTATAACAACTAATGCCATGCAATTTCTCAACTCTTGCAGGATGAATTGTTATGGGCCGCTACATGGCTTCAACGGGCTACAAAGGAAAAAATGTACCTAGATTTCATAGGAAAATTTACTAACACTGGTGGAAAAAGAACCTCCTTCTCATGGGATGACAAGTTTCTTGGTGCACAAGTCCTAGCTTCCAGGCTTGTTTTCATGGGCAAAGCTCCCAACTCAGGGAAATGGGCTGAGTACAAGAGCCAAGCTGAGCAATTCATATGTTCATGTGTTCAAAATGGCGATGTAAAAAAGACTTCAGGGGGCTTGTTATGGTTTATGCCTTGGAACAACCTTCAATACACAGCAACCGCAACTTTTATTGCAACCGTGTACTCCAAGTATTTAAAAGCTGCAAATTCCACCCTCAAATGTCCTAGTGGCAATGTTCAACCCACCGATTTAATGGCCCTGACCCGTGTACAAGCAGACTATATTTTAGGTAAAAACCCTATGGGGATGAGCTACATGGTTGGATTTGGGTCAAAATATCCTACTCAACCCCATCACAGAGGAGCTTCTATTGTATCAATTAAGAAGGATCATACACCCGTGAGTTGCAAAGGTGGGTTTGATTCGTGGTTCAATAAAAATGAGCCTAACCAAAATGTTTTGGAGGGTGCAATTGTGGGAGGTCCAGATGAAAATGATAAGTTTTCAGATTCTAGGTCCAACTACCAACTAAGTGAAACTACAACTGTAACTCCTGCACCTTTAGTTGGTGTATTTGCTAGCCTTGCTTAAACTGCAGTACATTCACTAGCTTCTTATTTCTCTTGTTATGAAAAATTGCAATTGAGTGATTATAAATCAAATTATAAGTTACAAAATAGTCAATTATAAAATGTTGTAAACGTCATTTTACTATCTTTGGAGCTGGCTATCAACACTGATATTTAATATAATGAACGCTTTAATTGTCTATCAATGCATGCCTAAAGATAGTAACAGCACTATAGTACTTTCAAATGTTTTTTTAATGAAAACAAAAAAAAAAAAAAAAGATTGATTTCCCTAGGTAAAAGACCATTCGCCCAAGATCGAGGGGCATCTTTGTGGGAGGACTTGCTTGGGATGTAGCCGAGGTAGTTTTACGAAAAAAAAAAAAAAAACATTAACAAGTTAAATAAAATCTATTTTGTAAATTGATTAAACGTTATAGTTTAATAATATTTATGCTTTATTTAACTTTCTTTTTTCACCAAACTCTCACGCACCAGTGCATGCATATTTGACATGTCTTTTGAAAGGTTTAACTCGTGGATTGTCTTTGTGGAAGACAACTATAAGATCTTACAACGTATTTCTAATCATGTTTTTTCCACTGTTTTCGCGAAGAAAGACCACGAGAAATATTGTCTTCATGAAAGTTTGTGGGAGCTCTCGTAACATATCGAAATATTTTATTTGATGGATAATTCTTAGTTACTTTGATTAATTTTATTTACAAGTACTTAGGTGACACGCTTTCTAGGTCCAAAAGTCAAAATATTATTGAATGAAAATGCACAAATGATCTTTTTACTCAACTTTTTATTTCTTTAAGCTCCTATCATAACTTCTTTTTTTTTTAAAAAAAAAAAACAATTTTGCATCAAACTTTCCATTACAATGAAAGCATTTGGGTTTACATCTAATTAAAAATTATTATAAATTGAATAATACTAGATATACAAACTCAAGAATCGCAAAATCGAATCATTTGCCACATGCTTGGCACAAATGAGACAATGGGTCTAGATTCCATGCCAAACAAAACAATTGGTCTCATGGTATGGCATCTCTAGGGAAGTTTTATTCACCCATGAGGTTTTGCATAAGTACTAACACATCCACAAGTTTCATAAAGTCATGAAGACAACAATATTTTTGTGAATTATATAGTTATAATTTTTTGAGATCATGAATATGTTACTAAGATGCTTTTAGAATAAATATTGACTACACTACAACACATTAATCTTCTTTAGTAGAATTAATTATTTTTTCCCTTTGGTTTAGGTTCATTATCTAAGTCGAATAGTTTAAAGTATTGGGATATACCCCCTAATTGTAACAAATATTAAGAAAAAAAATAGACAGTTAAGGACAAAAATTGGGCTTTTAATACCAGGACAATATCAAAATAAGGGGTATTCTGGTTTGTAAACAATAAAAATTCTTCCAATTAATCAATTATGTCAACGTTTATTAAATTCAAGAGACCTAAATCTTAGTATTTTAAGACGCAGGACCTAGACCATAATTGATTGAAACCTCATGGTGGATAAAGTCTTTCTATTTAGTATGGAATTTTAATCTTAGGGCTAGATTAGATAATTGCTTCCTTATTTTCTTTTTCATACCATTCTATTGAAACCTTCTTAATATAAGGCTATTTTTTTTTTTCATATAATATTCATTGGTGATTTTGAACTAAAAATTAAAGAATAGATAATATAAAATTATAAATAATAAAATGTTGAAGGATTGTTTCCTTATGATATACAAATACAACACTAATTCAATTGTTATTAAGATGATAATAATAATCAGATTCGTGCAATCAATCATACTTATTGATTGATAATTTGGTCAGGTTCAGATATGAAGAAAAGTAAAGCAAAAGTCTGTTGGGAGGATTTGGGTTCCAAAAGAGGAGGGCGGCCTTGGGATTTTGAGAAGCAAAGAGTGGAACCGAGCTTAAATGACTAGGCACATATGGAATATAATCCAAGATAAGAGTGATTCTGGATGGGTTGAATGGGTTAAAGAGTATTTCATTGGGAAGAAGAGCTTTTGGGATATTAAAACTCCTTGTAATGCGTCTTCGGCCTAGAAAAGTATCTTAAAGTTGAGAAGTGAGGTTATGGATAGATTCATATACATAATCGGCAATGGGGGAAGGAACTCACTTATGGCATGATAATTGGGACCCCAAAAGTCCTCTCATTAGAAGGTATGGCCCTCGAATTATTTATGATTCAAGTTTATCCTATTATGCTAAGGTAGAGGAGATATGTGAAGGAAAGTCGGCAGTGAAAGAGGGAGAGGCAGCCGAATTAGATCCATATTCTCTAGCCATAGTCCCATTTGGTAATATTATAAGAGTTTATGAGAAAGAGAGCAAGGAAATGGTGCACTTCGGTTTGACAAGTAATCAAAAGAAGAAACAAGCCAAGAAGGCGAGAAAACTTTCAAACCAATCTGCCCACCATGATTAAGACTGCTTTGTGGAATATAAGGGGTCTTAATTCCCCTTCTAAACAAAAGGAGGTTAGTTATTTTGTTAAAAGTAATTATATTAGTCTATGTGCCATCTTAGAGACTACAGTTAAAGGAAAAAAAAAATTGATGTGGTGAAAAAAATTGTCTTTGGTAAATGGTTAGTGGAGAATAACTACTTGGATTGTGAGAGAGGAAGAATTTGGGTGGGTTGGGATGATGAGGTGGTGAAGGTAAGAGTGTTATTTTGTTTGATGCAAGCTATTCATTGTAGAGTTGAAGTTTTGGGTCATAATTGTAGTTGTGTATAGTCTCAATAGTTTTGTGGAGATGAGAGATCTTTGGAAAGATTTAATTAGCAAAGCTGGTGTTTTTTGCCATGAGCCTTGGGTTTTATTGGGAGATTTCAGTGTGACAAGGTTTGTGAAAGAAATGGATGGGAGGGGCTGAGGGTTGGAAGTCTCATAGTGAGGACTTTGAAAAGGCTTGTAAAGGGGTTGAAATTGAAGATCTTCGTTACATGGGGGAATTTTTTACTTGGAGCAATAAAGGGGATGTCGATAGAAGAATTTGGTGTAAACTTGATAGTGTTATGGTTAATGAAAAATGGGGGTTGGTTTTTCCCTCTTCTTATGCTATGTTTCATCCTCCTAGTATTTCGGATCATTGTCATATGGTTCTTGATTGTGGGCTAGTGTCTCAAGGTAGGAAAACCCCATTCAAATTCTTTAACTTTTGGACTGATAATGAAATTTGTTTATTCCAATGGTTGGGAGAATTTGGAAGATGGAGGTGCAAGGTAACCCTATGTACAAGCTGATTTCCAAACTTAAGAGTTTAAATGCGCTGAACTTGAAAGAGTTTTAAGTATTTCTGAAAGGGTGAGGTTAGATAAGGAGGAACTTATGGGTATCCAAAATGAGTTAGGGAACGATCCGTTCAATGATCATATAATCCAAGAGGAGAAAGTGAAGGTTGCTAAGCTTGTCAAGCTCTCATAGGTGGAAAAGTTGGTAGCCAAACAAAAGTCTAGAATTAAGTGGCTTAAGGAAGGACACTCGAACACCTCTTACTTCTTCAAGTCGGTCAACGGTAGAAGGAATAGGAATAGAATTGTTTCCTTGAAGTTGGGGGATGGAAGTGTTACTAGTGATGTTGGCTGAATCAAGCAAGAGTTTATCAACTTCTATGGAAACCTCTTTGATGACAAGGAAGTTTGCAGGCACTTTGATGGCCTGTAGGGATTAATTGACCCAACCATTTCAGTGGAAAAGGCTAATGGTATTGTGGCCGATGTTACAAGCGAAGAGATAACTAAGACCATGTTTGATTTGAACAAGGACAAAGCCTCGGGGCCTGATGGGTTTAGTGTTTTTTTCTTTCAAAGAGCTTGGAATGTGGTTGGTAATGGTGTGGTGGAAGCTATTCAATACTTCTTTAATTCTGGAAAGCTTGTTAAGGAGTTGAATTGTACCATAATTGCTCTAATGCTAAAAGGTGAAAATGCATCGTCTTGTAATGATTATAGGTCTGTCTCTTACTGCAATACCATTAATAAATGCATATCTAAAATCATGGCCAATAGAATTAAAGGACTAAATTCATCAATAAGGCTCAAGCGGCCTTTGTTGGGGGAAGGGAGATTGTGGATAATGTGTTACTTAGTCAATAGTTGATGCATCACTATTATAGAGGGTTGGCAAAGGAAGAGCAATGTGCGTTAAAGGTTGATCTTATGAAGACTTATGACTTGGTGAGATGGGAGTTTGTATTGGAAGTTCCAGATTATTTGGGTTCCCTCCTTTATTCATCTCTTGGGTGGAACAATGTGTTACTACACATAGGTTCTCAATTGTTATCAATGGTGAGCTTATGGGTTTCTTTGGAAGGGCCAGGGGATTACGGTAAAGGGACCCTATATCTCCAAACCTATTTGTTATCTTAGTGGAAATACTTTCTAGATTATTAGGTAGAGTGGCTGACAAAAAGGAGTTTAAGTACCATTGAAGATGCAAAAATTTAAAACTAACCCATCTTTGTTTTGCAGATAATTTGATGTTGTTTTGCCATGCTAATAAGGTCTCTCCTTGCTCTTTTGAAGAGTGATCTTGATAATTTTTCCAAGTCGGCAGGTCTTAAGGTGAATCACTCTAAAAGTAATATCTTCTTTTTTGGGGCTCTTGAGGAAGAAAAGAGAGAGCTCATTTCTATCTTTGGGTTTGAGGAAGGTAGGCTGCCAATGAAATATTTAGGTGTGCCTCTTATCACTAGGAAGCTCAAACATGTTGATTGTAAACCTTTGTTGGATAAAATTTTAGCTAGAGTTAATTCATAGAGAAGTAAGTTCCTTTCTTATGCTGTTAGGGTTATACTTATCAAATCCATCCTTTCTAGCATTCATTGGTCATCGATTTTATCCTTCCCTCTAAGCTTGTAAAGATTTAGATGCCATGTTGAGTGTTTTTCTTTGGTTGGGTTTGGATATGAAGAAAAGTAAAGCAAAAGTCTATTGGGAGGATGTTTGTGTTCCAAAAGAGGAA